CTGTGTGACATTAGGTTACTTTAACTCTTGAGTTTGTTTCCTCACCTATAAATGTGAATAGTACCAATAGGTTGTTTTAATGATCAAATAACAATGCCATGTGATCTATAAAGGGTCATACTTTGTGAGGGCTTTTATCAAGGGGCAGAGTCAGCAGGTAAGTCCAAGAGGTCACATTCAGGAATCCTCTTCTCTTTACCCTGTACCACACTGCCTCTGCTCTGCTTGTTTATGGACACTGCCTCACTCATGATCCTTTTCCGGTGTCAGTCCTGTTCCCTTGTTAGCCCGGAAGCTGCCCTCTCCCCCCCCACCCCTTTGAGGGCTGATTTACTGATCGCTGGTTGATAACCACCTCCCTAGAGAGCAGCCTGGAGCCACTGCACTTCCAGTTTCTTGGGCCTTGTGATTGCTGTCCAGAGTTCCCTCCTTGCCTTCCTGCCTGGGCCAGCCCAGTGCTGGGCCAGTGGAGGAAAAGTTCTCAGACGTACTGCCACGCCCATGCCTCTGCTCTGTGTGGAACTGAAGATTTACATGCCCAGGAGTTCTCTCAAAATGCTAGTGTCTCCTAGGTAATTCAAGGGATACAAGTAACAGCACCAACCCCCACAACATACTCTCTCCTTTCCCCAAGGAAGGAGTCACAGAATTCTACAAGAAGAATGTGTCCTAACTTGCCCCATGTGCCCAGCAGACCTTATACATTTGCTGACTGACTCAGCCCCACCCCCTCCCCACCCTGTGCTCCTGGAGGCCTTTCCTACCCCCATTATCTATCCCCTGTTCTCAGGGCTCTTCATGTCTCACTTCATCTACCTAGTGCCCTTCTCTCCATTTCATGGATGGGAAAACTGAGGCCCAGGGAGGGTAAGTACCTCATGCTTGGTTGTACTCAGTCAGCGGCAGAGCAGAACTGGGGTTACAACTTAGGTCTCTTGACTTCCAGTCTGAGATTCTCACCACTGTCCTACAGAGCCCTTATTTCCTTCCCATATTTATTCCCTGAGGCTTGATGTCCTCTCTCCTGAGGCTAAACTCACACACTTATTCCCACAAGAAAAATGGAAATACTTTTATTTGAACCAAAGGCAACCTCACAGAATGAAACCATTTCCCTTCCATGGGAAGCTGGGTCTGGAGAGGAAGTTGGGACCAAGCCCTGAGTCCTATGCAGGTTCCACACTGGCAGAGTTCCTTTTTGCCTCCCAATGGGGGAATCTCCCCCATCCCCAGTTTGATTTTCAAGGCTTTTGAACCAGTGTTTGAGAGGTCAGGCTGAGAATTAAGGGGTTTTCAGACCAGGGTGCAGTCTTGCAGTGTATATACTATAAAGTGAAATAGAGAAAATGGGCCAGTGATGATGGTGCTTGAGCGGAGCAAGGGATACTTGGATATCTGGGTATGTCTAAAACAGGCTGTCCCCTCCCAGGGGGCAGGGACCTGGTTGTGAGAGAGAGTGAGGGAAAGGAAGTCACATAGTGGCCAGCAAAAGTCCCTCTTGGCCAAGAGGAAGTAGCCAATGAGAGAAGAACCTTTGCCACAGCAGTATAAATAATCACAGGGTTTCCGGAAGTTCTGTTCCAGAACTCAGAAGAACAGTTCCTCACCCTGGGCCCTGTGAACTGCAAAGGGAACAAGGGTAATAATGGTTGGAGCCGGGACTCTTCTCACACCCCACTAATAATCTACACGTTAGCTCATTTCATATCTGAGCAATTCTAACACAATAGGCAAGATTTCCCCCATTTTACAGATGAGAAAATTGAAGCTCAGGAAACTTAATGTGTTGTCCAAGATATACATGACTAGTTGGTGGAACTGTGATTAGAATACGTGGCCAGTCTGACTCCAGCATGTGTTCTCAGTATAGAGCATTAATGGCATTGTGTTCTGTATCAAGAATCTGGAAGCCCTTGAAATTTTTCAGAGGCATGTGCCATAGTCTCAAAAAAGGGACCAAAGATTAAGGCGAAAAACCAAGTTTTTGTTTTACTCTTCTATTCATCCCTTTTGGCTGGGCTTGATCTGCTTCACCCCACCAAAGATCTTAAGAGAAGATGCTAATGTGTGGGAGCCACACCCTTTGCCTCATCATCTCCTGTATTCCCCTGCCCCGAATTGCCAGCCTGGGTATATGTGGCCAAATAGGGTTTACTATGCTTACAAAAAAGTAAAGGGGTTAGTTCTCCCCCCTTTCCCATCCCCAGGGCATCCTGGATTTCAATAGGGCAGCTGCCTAGAGAATTGTGCTCCTTACTCAGCAGGTTTCTTATTGTACCTTTTGGGTTGTACTCCGTAGCCAAGATGTTGGGTTTGGAGCTGAAACAGTGCAGTAGGCAGGGCTGGCTCAGAGTTGGGAGAGGCTCCGCCCCTGGCTGCATCTCAGAGTAACCTGGGGCAGTGCCCTGTGCCAGAACTCCTCTCCAGTCGACTTGGTGGAAGGGGTCCATATCTGGCAGAGGATCTGTCGGTAGATCCCTACATACACTCGCATATTGTCCTTTTGTGTCTATACTGCCTGGAGGAAAAATAAAAGTAGCTAATACTTACTGAATGTTTATTATGAGCAGTTACTGTTCTAAATGCTTTAATGTATTACCTTATTTAGGGGTGTCCAGCCTTTTGGTGTGTCTGGGCCACACATTAAATACACAAACTCTGATGAAAACTGATGAGCAAAAAAAAAAAAAAAAAAAAATTTTAAGTAAATTTACGATTTTGTGTTGGGCCACATTCATAGCCATCCTGGGCCATTTGCAGCCCATGGGCCACGGGTTGGGCACCCCTACCTTATGTAATCCTCCTAATAACCCAATGAGGTAGGTATTATTTTATTCCCATTTTACACATAAGAAAACTGAGGCCCACTAATCACTAACTAATAGAGAAGTTAAGGAATTTGTCCAGGGTCACACAGCTAGGAAATAGCAGAACTAGGATTTGACCTTTGTTGGTCTAGTACCAGAATTTATGTGCTTCACATGTTTACACATTATAATGCCAGCCTTCTTACACCTGAGCATCTTTGCTTGATCTTTTTCATTGTGTATCTCTCTCTCAGGTCTGTTTGGATGGGACTGCAAGATGGTGTCAGGTTAAGAGAAGAGAAGGTCATTTCTCTCTATATGCCCCCATTCTTTCTTCCCAGTGGGTAGAGGCTTCCCTGACCCAGAGTGTCCCTCTCCTCTGTTCCTAGGTCACTGCATCCAGAGGGGCCCAGAAGGGAAAGGAGGCGGTGCCTCCACTGCAGCAGCGGCACCCACGATGCAGAGCATCAAGTGTGTGGTGGTGGGCGATGGGGCTGTAGGCAAGACGTGCCTGCTCATCTGCTACACAACTAATGCCTTCCCTAAGGAATACATCCCCACAGTGTTCGACAATTACAGTGCCCAGAGTGCAGTTGATGGGCGCACAGTGAACCTGAACCTGTGGGACACAGCGGGCCAGGAGGAGTACGACCGCCTCCGCACACTCTCCTACCCTCAGACCAACGTCTTTGTCATCTGTTTCTCCATTGCCAGTCCACCCTCCTATGAGAATGTGCGGCACAAGTGGCACCCAGAAGTGTGCCACCACTGTCCCGACGTGCCCATTCTCCTGGTGGGCACCAAGAAGGACCTGAGAGCCCAGCCTGACACCCTGCGGCGCCTCAAGGAGCAGGGCCAGGCACCCATCACACCGCAGCAGGGCCAGGCACTGGCCAAGCAGATCCATGCTGTGCGCTACCTCGAGTGCTCGGCCCTGCAGCAGGACGGCGTCAAGGAAGTGTTTGCTGAGGCTGTCCGGGCTGTGCTCAACCCCACACCGATCAAGCGTGGGCGGTCCTGCGTCCTCTTGTGACCCTGGCACTTAGCTTGCAGGCTGCCCCTGCCCCCCCACCAGTTGTGCCTTGGCGCCTTGTCTGCCCCCAGCTGTGCCTTGAGGACTAATTCTGGCACCCCTTGCCAGGGGGCTCCCTGAATGCCTGTTTATCCTTAAGGAAGCCCACAGAGAAAGGGGCTTTGGGTCCTGCCCTAATCTGCTTGGGAACACCAGGTATTCTTGAGAGCTCACCCAGGCCAAGGTTGGACCCCTCCCCATTTTCCCCTACTGACCAGTTGATCCAGCTTTCCACACAGATGTTGCTGCCTATTGTGGTGCCTTCTCTCAGGTTAGGAGCTCTCGGCCATTCCTAACCTCTCCCTTGCTGCTCTTCAAATTGCTCCCCTCTCAAGATGCTCTCTCCCTTCTCCAACGGAGCCACAAAATCCTGAGAAGATGAATGTTCCCTAACTTGCCCCCATGTGCCCAGGCCTTATGCATTGCTGACTGACTCAGCCCCTCCACCCGGGCTCCTACCCCCATCAGCATCAATAAAACCTCCTGTCTCCAGTGGCCCCGGCTCCTCCCTGTGTCCTGGACATTGGGGGTTGGGCAGGAGGCAGGCATGGACTAGGGCTCCCCAGAGACTGGGAGCCTTTTGTTTACTGCAAGAGGGAACAGGAGACAATAAGCTTCATTGTGGTCCCCTTTACCCCCCAATTTCCCTAACAAAGCTCTGGACTCCCTTGGAGGGGCCAATCATGCTCTGGGGCCCAGCCACAGATTCTGTAGTGGACAGGGATGCAAAGCATGAGGAAAGACTTCCTGAACTAGGGCTCAAAAAGGGGAAGGTTAAGAGCCATTGGCCTGCAGACAGATGCTCTCAGTGCTCATGCGTTCTGAGCTGTACCCTTACACCCCCAAGGGGAGGTCTTTACTGTCAATTGGGGCTAGAACTTAAGCCTTTGCCTCTGCCCAAGACTCCCGGGTATCTCAGCTTCCAGGCCTGGAGTCACTTCTGCTCACTAAAATTGGGGTTTAGACCATCTGTAGGATACTTCAGGCCTACAGAGGTAGCGGGTTATGTGGAATCATAACCTACCATGGGCTTACTCCCTTCATTCTGGAGCTTGTCCCTCACCTCAGTTCCATTAAACAGATGAGTCCCCAGACAAGCAAGCCTAGCCCAGACTGTTGGCCAAAAAAAAATTTTTTTATTTTCCTTGAAAATAAAATGTACAATCACAAAAGCTCAGGGCCTGGGATAGTACAGAGTTTGGTAGGGGGCACTAGTTGGGGGATAGGAATCTGTGCCTCTGACTCTTCCACCCCACACTTTTGTCAAATAGTGTGTAAGCCAGAGAATTCAGAAGGAAAGAAAGATATACTGTGGCAGTTTTTCTTCTGGAGCAGCTCAGCTTTCCAGTACAGACCATGACCTCCACAAAGTGATACCAGAAGTACAGCCTGGCAGAGCCCTTGGAAATCATACAGTCTGCCAACCCCCATCATCACAGATGAAGTGAGGACTAGACCATCTGGGCAACCTTAGTAGGGAACTGTGGTCATAGGCCTGGATGTACAGAGTAGATTGTTAGACACATTAATCAAGTGAATGGCCATGTGAAGATAATGGCTGTGGTTTTCAGGTGGTGGCCACTGCTCAGTGGTCCCTGACCTCACAGAGAGGTGGCTATGTTAAGGCCAAGAACCGGATGGTGGTTATGAACCTCAGGACTTTTTTTAGCACCAAATTGTGGAGCTCTCCTGCCAGCTCAGTTTCTTGGGGCCTCTTGGGTAAGGTTGATGCTTGTTTAAAGGTCCCTGTGCCTTCACGTGGGCTGGGGAAAAGGAGATGCTGTAGGACTGGGTAAAGCCATATACTATGCCCTTCCTCCTCCTCCCCTTTCCCAGCTTCAGAAGGGCCCAGAGAGGACACAAGAGGTGGGAAAGGCCAGAGTGGTATTTCATTTCTGATTTCTGGGCAGTGGTCCACACCACCCCTATCCCCGACAAAGTGGAAGAGAAGAATTTAGAATCGCTTTTCCTCAGGCTGGGAGGTAATGAGAAGCTCCTTGTTCCCGAAGTCCCACCAGGCTGTCATGTGGAATGCCATGTTGGTTAGGACAACAGTGTACTCCAGGATGGCAAAGATGGTGTACACTGTTTTAAGGACACAAAGAAGGGCACGGTGAGTCTCCTGCCCCCACCTTCCTCCCATCCCCAGGACCTCTTGATAAATCATCACCACTACATCACTACACAGGGAAAACACACCACAATATTACACATTTCTAGAAAATACCACAACTGTCCCATAGTCACTGTGACCACTATGGATTCTAATCTGGCCTCACCTCCAGCCTCACAATACATGTTGTGCCGAAAGTAGACACCGAGCGCCGTGAAGAAGGAGACAAAGTTGATGATGAAGAGCCGCTGTTTCCAGTCGTAGGACTTGTGATCCTGTAAGATGGGCTGTCTGATCACTCCGCAGCTTTTTGCCTATGTCTCAGTAGCCTCCCCTCTTAGCCCCAACTCCTAAGGGCTAGTCTCCCCTTCTTTAGTCATAAAAGGGGGCACAGGCAGGGGCAATAGGTATGATGGACATGCTGACATTCCTGTATTCGGAGTATAACGGGGCCAAGGAGCAATACTGTCCCTGCCCCTTCCACTTTGGGGGTAAGGAATATGGAAGTTACTTGGGGTCAACCAACCAACACAACACCTCCAGATACTGTGGGGAGCAAAAAGGTGTATGTGTGGCTGCAGGGGCTAGTTGGAGTTATTACAGACCGCAGATCCTGACATGTCTTCCTGACCCACTGAAGCCTGGCGCTGCCCCTCATTCTACCTCCATTTTGGAGCCTCCATCTCCTCTATTCTCCATTCTCCCATACTACCCAAACACAGTCCTAGATTCTGACCAATCACCCACCCGTTGTCCCCAAGTCCCAGCCCAAGCCCAGGTTCCAATTACAACTCTAGTTCCCACCTCACCGTTACTGGCATGCAGAGAATAGTTCTTGATTTTTCCTCTGGGCCACCTGGAGCCCCAGGTCTACCCTAGGGGTAGACCTACCTCCTGACTTACTGTGTGCTTCTTGGTCAGCCGCCAGATAATGCAGGTGAGGAGCATGTGACTGAGGGATGTGGCGATGAACACAATGAAAGCATTTTCATGGATAGCTGGAGGGAGAGAGGAGGGTTGGGAGTGCACATTGCAGGAAGCACCCAAACCCTATGAGTAGAGGGTAGGGGAGTCCCCTTCCCAAACCCTTCCCCACTCTCCTTCCCTCCTCTGGGCACCCACTGAAGTCCTCGGAAGAGGAGACGTATGTGAGCACTAGCAGCGCGAGGTTCTCGATGATGTTGAGGCTGAAGTTGAGGCGGCAAAGCAGTCGGTAACTAGGACACTGGGAGGTACAGCTGAGGTAGTGGTTCCAGTAGGCGAAGGCCACCAAGAAGCGGGGCGCCGAGTGCAGGCCGATGCAGAAGCGCCACACATAGCGCTGGGGCACCTCCCCGCCGATGGCCGAGCTCACCGAAGGCAGGTAATTGGGCACCTAGAGAGTTGTGACCCTTCTGGGCACTGGCCCTTGCCAGGTCCGCCCACCTGGAGATCCTTCTCTCTCCATCTAATCAACCTGGCCCTCAGAAAGCTGTGCCCAGCCCCTTTCCTTCTAGGAAGGCCCCTTTCAGGCAGCCTCAGGGCTCTCCTTGGAGACCTTGCTTTCTAGCTCCCGACTCCCCAATGTTCTTGATTCTCATTCCCCAGCAAGACTGGCATTTGTTCAGGGACATATATGACCTTCTCCATCTCCCTACACAGGGAACCTACATATGCCTAAGAAAGTTGTAGACAGGTTCAGAAACTCGGTGAGACAGTAACAGAAGGCCCTGTGAGAGGATCCGTGAGCCCCAGACCCCAGGTGCAATCCCATGACAGGGTTGACTCAGAGACCATCTGAGCTTCCTTGGGACAGTACTGGATTCACTGCCCAACTGAGCTGCTCCTCTGACTGCTCCCAGCTCCACTTGTTTTTCTTGCAGGTATGTCAAGGTGGTGGAGGGTACTGTGAGACGCTGGAGGAGCTGAGCCAGAAGGGTGGGTGCTCCTAACCTGTGGCAGTCACCCTGTTCTTGTACGTATCTCTCATCCATCTTTCTCAAAGACTGGTTTCCTCATTCCCTAAGGAATCAGAGTGTCATTCTTTCAAGTTGAGGAAGGAGGAGGACATAATACACAGCTGCAAGAATTGCCATGTTGTTTGTATGGGAGGGTGAGAGGATGGGGGATGACTGAACAGTAGTTTCGATGGGAACAAGAAAGCCAGGAGGAGGAGCTATTAGACTCTAGGGCCTGGAGCTGCTTTGCAAACTTTAATATGCATATAACTCAATAGAGATTGTGCAAGGGTGTGGAAGGCCTGGAATCTGAGAATCTGTATTCCTAAAAGATTCCAGGACTGTGGAAGCTACCAGTCTGTTGCCCACACTTTTCATAGACTTTTTTGGACTTTCAACAGGGCCAGAGCAGTGTCAGAGCCCACAGAGGAATGACCCTGTGTGATTATGGTGGGATCAATCTTCAGATATGGAGTTCTGCAAGATCCCTTTCCCTTTTCCCAATGGGGACGTTGAATGGGTCTCAAAGCAGGTAGGCAGGTAGGAAATGACCGGAGGCACCTCACAGGGCAGGGGTGGGTCTGGAGAAGCACCAGCCAGGGGCTTCACAGCCTTCACAGAAAAGGAAATGGGTTTCCATCAGCACTGTCAGAGGAAACTGAATGCAAAACTCTCAGAGAAAGGGTGCTGCTCTTAGGGCCACAGCTTGAGATACCATCGCTTGGGAACGGGCTCAGATATCCACTCCGCATATTCAGTGAAGAGGCAACACGGAGGCTTTAGAGACACACAAACCTGGGTCTGCATCCCCGCTCTGCCTTTATTAGTGGGGTAACCTTGAGCAAGCCACTTCACCTCTCTGAGCTTCCATTTCCTCATTGACAAAATAGGGATACCACTACCTAACTTACAGGGTGACTGTGAATACTAAATATAATGTACGCAAAGCATCTGCAGTATCTGGGATGCAATGGGTACAAGGGATGGTCTTCAGAAGACAAGCTTCCCTGAAAAGCCTGCAAATAGGAGGTGAGCTGCTATGTGGCTACTGAACATGGGATGGCCTACATATGAGTGAGAGGTGGCGATCATATCTTCACTGGACACTTCTGAGACCTCTAAGTCTCATTATTTGACTTTTCTGCCTCCCTGAATAGGTCCTCTGAGTAGGGTTAGTAGGAGTGTTGCCTCCTCTTTGTAGATTATTAATTCTGAAAACTCCTGCCATAACCTCAGCTATTTAAGGGGAACATGACCAGCCTCTAAGACTTGCATCGGAGAGCCCAGGGCATTTAACGGCCCAGATCCTTGATCAATGCTGGGAAACAGCTATAGAGTAGAGATAGCACAGAGTTGGGGTGATGCCTCGGAGGAAGAGAGAACTAGGGCCCAGTGGCTGCCGGTCCTGTTCTAACACGCTCCACCTAGATTAGGGGTGAGGACAGAGTTCTAAGAGCAAGGATTACCTCTTGTCATACACACACACACACACACAAACACAATCAGGAACAGATACTCATACACACACACCATTCCAAGCATACAAGTTCCCGACTTACCAACTATCCCAGCAACAAGCAACGTTAGGAGCTATCAGAAACCAGGCACACAGTTCATGTCAAACCTCGCCATGAGCCCAGAGCTAAGGATACCAAGAATAGAAACCCTTTGGCCTGGAGGACATGGCTCAGTGGATCTGTGGCAGGGCAGCAGATCAGAAATACACATGATATAAAAGGAGGGGGCCCAAAAAATTCCCTGTCATAGGACCTCAGATGTCACCATTAAAGATTCCGTCCTTTGGCCTCAGATAAAAATTCCCTGAAATTATCGATGACTTTCCTATATTTACCTTATTGCTCCCTGCCCTTTGCCAACTGGACAAAAACTCCCACCCCTGTCACTTCCACTAGCTATTCTTCTTTGGACTCCATCCCCTCCCATTTATCTTTACAGTCCCCATCTTTGCCTGGTCTCTCCAGTAGCATGAACTATTAAACTAGCCTCCTCACTGGTCTCCCTACTCTTGTCCCCTGCCCTCCTTTCAGGAGACAGATTGTTTTTCTAAACCACAAATTTAATTGTGTCCCTTTGCTACTTAAAATCTTTCCAGAGCTTAGATTGCCATTTGAATAAAATCAAAGTGGTCAGCCTGGCATTCTCAAAGATTCTTCTTCACATCAACAATGGACCCTCCTCCAGGAAGGAAGTCTTCCCCAATGTCCAAGCTTGGGTTATGTGCTTCCTCTGGGGCTGCCATCCTTGCCCTCCCTTTATCACAATAGAAGCCCTGTCTCACTGTGTAATGACTGTCTGTGTCTAGGACTATCTCTTGTATGAATGAGATGCTAAGAGCAAGTCCATGTTCAGTTCCATGCCCATGACACAGAACCTCAGTCCTCAGCAAAGGCCTAGTGCATCGCTCTTGGAGGCCGCAAATCCATCCAGGTTTGCAGCTGACAGAGACCTGAATGTACACTAGGAGGCCAGAGAGAGAGACCAAGCCAGAAGATTCCAGAGCAGGGCTGGGGTCCTCTTAGGTCAGGCTCCCAGCCTGGGCCAGAGCTACCTGTTACTTTTAGCTTCTGGCCTCATCTTATCTCCTCTGTTCTGGCTTCCCTTCCAGTCTGGTCTTTCTTTAGCTTTCTCCCTCTCATGATCTCTCTTACCTATTCCCACTCCCTTCCCTTCCCCCTACCCTCTCTGCTCCCTTCCACTCCCTATAATCCTCTTCTACTCGTGAAGGACTGTGACTGTAGTCCCTGAGTCTCTCCCCACAAATTCCCCCTAACTCTGCATTTCCCCCACCATCTTTTTATCTCTTTCCCCTCTCTCTGACCCTCCACCTTTTCTCTTACTCTCTGATTTTGCCCTTATCACCATCTTCAGACCGGGCCATGACCCAGTTTCTGGGGAGCCTGGCACTCACCCCACAGTCAGTGGCCACCGTGTACTCAAAGTGGAACACCAGGGACCAGATGATGCAGAAGAAGAAGCCGAACACGGGGAAAGTGACGACCCACCATAGCATGGCCGTGAAGCGAAGCCGGAAGATGGTCCCATCAGGGTCCAAGGGCTGGAAGGCTGCAGAGAACATCCTGTAGGAAGTGGTGCCTAGGCAGGGCGAGGGACACAACTCAGGGCCTCGTGGGACACCTGGACCTGGGAAAATAGGGCCTTTTCCAGAGATGGCTACTCAGGGTATAGAAAAGAGCCAGAGAAGAGAAGAGCCAGAAAGAGAAGAAAAAGTAGAAAGAGCATAAGGGGAAAAGGAAAATAGTGCAGGAGAAAAGGAGATACAGAGGAAGATGGGGCAAGAGCTGCAGAGATAGGCAGGGTCAGCTCTTAGGAATCCCCTTGGCACACGGGTCCTATATGGCCACCTCTTGAAGAGTCTGGAGAATAGAGGCTCTTAGTGACCTGGACATGAAAACTCTGCTGGTCCACCTCATTCTCACTATCCTCATACCCACTCAGGAGAAGGGTCAGAGGTGGAAGAGTTATTATTCCCATTCCAAGAAGGCGAGAACGAGGCCAGAACTGTGCCAGGATTAATCACTGGGCCTAAGGCCTCTTGCCACCTGACAGCTTAAGGCTCCAATCAAGGTCTTCTTCAGGTCAAGGAACCTAGACGAAGAACCTTAGCTCAGACTAGTCCAAGCCCTCCCACTGACCCTGTCTGACCACATTCCTGCTCTTTATCCAAGCTCAACTAGGAACAGTAGGTGTACCCCAGAACGTAGGGGCCACAGGCTGCCAGCCATCCTGCACCCAGGCTCGGAATGATCCAAGCCTCAGGCCAGCACTATACCCTGATCTCAAGATACCAGGGTCTCTCTGAGGCCCACACCTATAACTCCTTTCTCTCTGAGAAGACCATGTCACCTAGTTCAAGGTTTATAGGAATTTAAGGATCATGGGAACCTTCTCCACTCAGCTGGAGCCTGCTGTGTTGGGCCAGAACCAGGACAGACAGACCCAGACCCAGGACGCTGGGCTTCTTCTGCTCCCTTCTCCCTCTAGGCAAAGAACTCCCATTCCATCCCCTACAGTCCCAACCACCATGATCCCTCAAGCTGGGCTCCCTTCTGGGGGGGTCAAAGATGACTTTGTATCAAAAGGCCAAAGACCAAACTTCCCCTTGGGACTCATACCTCCCTCCATTAAGGGAGCCCTAGTCTACTAGTCCAGCCCAGCATCAAGGAATAGGACAGGGGACAGGGAAGCTCAATGAGCAACACTCACACTGGGTCCTGAAGGATCCGGAGCTTGGGTCGAGGGCTCTAGCCAGACTGAGATAGTTCTAAGACTAGAGGGTCCCACCCCCAGCTCCCCAGGGCCTGCCTTCCCGCCCACAGAGTACCCAGATCTCCACGCCTGCCCAGGCACACAGCCTTCCTAGGACCAAAAGACCATGTCATAAATTCTGGAACACTCTGCAAAGGTAAGAAGTGATAGTGGTTAAGGTCAGCCCACAACAGCTTCCTTGCCAGGGATGGGGGTGGAGACCTTTCTAAGAGTTATATCTATGGATACAGGCAGATTTCCAGAAAGGGAAACATTGAAAACAGAATAGGATTTTGCCCCTTTTTGTTGGAGTAGGACTGAGTATGTTTGTTGGGCTCCATTGGAGAGACAGCTAATCTTAGGACAAAAGATTCATGATCCAAAAGAGATCTACACAGGCCTGAATATAAGCTATCAGTGTCCAGCCTGGACCTGTGCAGAAACAGTTAATGGCCGCTCAGGCCGCATTAACAGAAGGGTAAAAGCCAATAATAGGAATGGCCCAGGCCGTATGAAGTCCTACGCCCAAATCAGGGCCTAGCAAGGAGAGAACAGTGACCAACTAGGCCCAGGCTAGGGGCACATGCCCTAGGGTAAGGATTGCCTGAAGGAACTAGATCTATGCTGCTTAAGAGTAAACTCAAGGACTCCTACTTCTGCAGGGGTGGCTGGAAACCAGAACAAAAGAGTAGCCCTAAGGCTCCCAATGCAGAGATTCACCAGAAGAAAGGTATATGCTCAGTATAACAAAGAGCTTGCTAAATGCTAGCTACCAAGCCTCTTTGGAGTAGGCTACCTGGGGAGAAAGAAAACTCCCCATCACTGGGGATGTGCAAGCCAAGGTAAAGTCATCTAATTACAGATGTGCTAATCTGAGGTTCCTTCTTTTATTCCTAGGGTTGGTCATTCCTGGGAAACTCAGAGTGAAAAATTCTGAGTATATACAAAAATTCCCAGGTGGATCCAACATGGTAATCCCAGGCAGTGGGAACAAAATGCCCCCAGGGTCACTGCCCAGAGGGGCCAGGTGCCCCTCCTACAAGTACCTATGCCTTAGCTACAGTCAGTATTCCAAGAATGGGTCATAGATATGCCAGATATGCTGAGGTTATTGATCCCATTAGCCCTTGGAGCCAGCCATAAGGGACAAAGCTAACAGCCTACGTTTAACTCCATATGCTGTACAAATATGATTTTCTCTATGGACTGTGACTACATTATACCATGCTTTCCATTGCCCAGAGAATTGGGCTGGGGGGTTCTATTCTCTTATTCAACAAATACGGATTCAGATGTAGTGCTCATCTTCAAGGACCCCCCAGTCTGGTGGGAAAGACACACAAATATAAGGTGATAAAACTATATGAGAGAACACAGGGTACTGTGGGTATCTTGAGGAGAGAGTATTTAAGTTTGCCCCAAGGAGGCTGAAGAAGGCTTTTTGGAGGAGGCGACACCTCAGCAGAGTGTTGCAGGATGAAGAGGAGTTGGCCAGGATAATAGAATATTTTATGTATTATCTAAGGTGAAAACTAGGACATGGATCCTTTCTAATCATCCCCCTTAGATCATCTGGTCACCCTCTTCTTCCAGTCCTGTTCTTTCTGATAGCTGGGTTTCATCAGACTGGCTGCCCACAGCTCAACGCTCATGATTACACACTGACAAATCAAAAGGGAAAACTTCAAGTCCTATGAACAAAAGAAGTACCAGAACCCCAGCCAGACTCGATTGCTAGTTACAGCTGGTTTTGTGGAGCAAGTGCCCTTTATAGGAAGAGGGGAAGCTCAGCTGACTAGGGGCCTTCAGAGCTCTCTCTGAGACTAATGCCAAAGTCCATACCCAGGCTCTGCCTCTTTTCTACCTAGAGCATGTAGGTAAATTCCTCTCCTGTTCTGTCTTCCAACCCGACAATTTCCTTTTCCTTCTCTTCCTTCTCTTCCTCATCCTTCACATTTCCCAAGCCACTTTCCTACCCTCTACCTGGACCTCTACACTAGCCCTAAGGAGAAGGAAGACAGGAATTATGAATCCCATTTTAGAAATGGGGAAATTGAGGCTCACTATCAGCATCTCAGGTAATATAGAATCAGTGGATAAACTAGGAGTATAACAGAGGTCAATATAGGTCTCACCTCCTTTACTCCAATATCCTACAGAGAAAGAACTCTCATATCTTTCTTCCTGGCTCAACTGTCTGGAGGGTACATGGTCATCTATGGAAACTCAGAGGACGTGGGACCTACCCCAGAGCACACACTCATAATCAGACCATCCAGACAGGCACAAACACAGTCTTTCTCATATATTATTAATACATAGTACACTCAAAGCCATATAGTCACGTCCCTTAGAGTTACACACACATATACATAATCACATTCCCATAGAGAGAGGCACAAGCCCACAGTGCCACACTAACAGGTTCCAAATGCCCTCTTAGCCCAGCCCTGTTCTCTCTTCATCCTCAAAAAACCTTGGGTCTCCTGAATCTTCCCCTCTATGTAGGATTGTGTTCTGGGTTCTGGGGCTGCCCGACTTTATTGACCCCAGCCCCCAGTAACCTTCATGGAAGGTAGAGGGAGACCAATCCTTGTGGCCTCAATTTGCAGGCATGCCCGCAGCAGCCCAGTATGTTTGATGGACCCCCACTGCTAATCCTATTACAACAGAATCAGAATCCAAAATAGATTCAAGTGGGTCTGAATATGACGTATCAATGACCCCCAATCCCTACCCCACAGTGTGTAGCCGTAGTCTCCTCGAAGTGGAAGAGCAGGGACCAGAGGACGCAGAAGAGGAAGGCGACAAGTGGACAGCAGACCGTGACCAGGGCCACCATGGTGAGGCGGACTCGGACCAGGGTCCCATCCCGGTCCAGTGGCAGTGGGACCTGGTACATCTTGTCAGACCTGGGGATGGAGTGGTGTGCTGTCAGGTACCAAGGCAGCAAGGCTGGGACTCAGGGGTGAAGTCAGCCCGTTAGTCCCTGGGCTCTGTTCTGAGACTGAGCCATGGGTTAGGGAGTCCAAGAAAGAAGCCATCTAGCCCCTAAGCCTGGACAGCCCCTGCCCTGGACGAGGAAGACTGACTTGAATCCCATGAGAACATTCACCCTCAATTTCAGAGGAAAGACAATGAACCAAACCTGCACTGCAATGAAGCTTGAATAGACTGGGAGACCTCCTCACCTCTATGCCTGGCTTGACAGGCCTAGAACTACAGGAACTGGTTACATTAGTCTCTCATTTCAGGAACCAAACCTAAAGCCTCCTTGTAGACAGAATGGTCCATCTCTTCCTCAAGTCCTTGGGCCTTCAGGCTTCAGGGCCTTCCATCACTTCTTCTTTACCCACCAGTCCAGGGTCCCTCTGCATCCTCAGTTCCTTCTCAGGCTCTGTGCTCTGGGTGTCTGCACCACAATCTACAGCAGCAAGGACTCCATGGAAACCCAACAGAACCTCGACACCTGGCTTGTCCTCACCTGCTGGCCTCATGTGCTCTGAGGGTGAAAGGCTTTGCACAATCAGGCGTGATACAGGCCTGAGCTTGTTGTTTACTGGAGGAAGCTGCCTAGTCAGCTTCTGGAGGCCTCCCAGTGCCCAGGGGCCTGTCCACTCCCTCTGGAGAGTAGGTAAGGAAGGGCTCCTGAGAACTGTGACTCCCCACTCAGATGACGGTACCTAAAGGCAGGAACTGTAATAGCCAAACGTACACCAGCACTCCTAGCCCAGTACCTACCCAGTGCATAGAAGGGGAAGTTGAGACCAAGGGAAGGAGAGAAGCCTGCTCAGGGTCACAGGGTCACAAACTGGAACTCTGACCTTCCTTGACCCCTATCTTTCTGGGCCAGAGACCTGGGCAGAAAAGTCAGATTAGAAGGGGAGGGAAAACGGGTATGGGTCTGTAGGAGGAAGAAAGGTAAAAAACAAACCCTATATGATGAGTCAGTCATCTCTGTCCCCATTGTAAAGACACAGAAACCAAGACACAGAGAGAAGGCCCTTCCTCCATGCCATATGATGAGCCTAAGGGAAAGCCATCTTCAGAATTTAGCCTTCTTGTTGCCAGACTAGAGCTGGTTCCGGATACATAAACAACTCCCCAGTCTGGGCTCGTGAGCCTTACCAGATAAAGTCCCAACACTTCTGGGCCCTGCCCTCAGGACTCTCTCTTCTAGTCCTACCCTCTGGAAGAACTTGAGTTCCATGAGGCAGGCCTCTTAGCATTCTGGATCAGGCCAGGAAAATATGCCTCTGCATTCTCATCCATCTTCCCCTGCCCACCCTTCTGACAGGCCCTGTCAGGCAGTCTACCACAATTACTCAAGTTCCTTTCTCCCGTTTGGGGCAAGGGGTCTCCCAGGGGAGGTGGCTCTAGTGAGCCTCCCCAAACAAACACATTCCTTGGATCACCCTCAAATGGACTGAGTCCCCAAGGGCCTGGCAGGGGAACAGTTTCCCCATCCAGACCAAACCCAGATTCTGTGGTTGTAGCAGTATTAGACCCTCCCAAAATCCCTCCCTGAAGCCAGCGGCTATAGATCCCTCAGGAGCTACTGGGGTCCCAAAACTAAACACCAGATCCTCAGGGAATGCACATGCACTGGTCAAGGCAGGAGGGTGTTAAGATAGGTTCAAGGAAAAGGCTGTTCAGCTTGGAGATATGCCTGGGTGCCCTTTTTGCTATGTGACCTTGGGCAAGTCACCTAACCACTCTGGGCCTGTTTCCACAGTTGTTCAATATGGGGCTCATGTGTTCTATAGATGAGGTCGTTCCAACTTGGTCATTCAACTTCTCCAGACCTCACAACAGGGAGCTCACTACCTGAAGGGCAGCTCTTCAGACCCAGTCCACTCTAACTTCCTTATAGGTATTACTTAGTTGAAAACTGCTTTCTTAGGAGCACCTATACCTTATCTCCAAAGGTGCCTAAAGATCTTCTCAGCTTCCAATCCAAATCCAATTACTAGGTGCCTTCTGAATCTAGGAACTAATTACATATAGACTGTTTCATTTAACCCTCACTATAATATATTTTGCCATGTACAACGCGCTCTCGTGTATAGTGCGCACCCATGTTTTTGACCCAAACTTTCAGGAAAAAAAATTTTAATTTTTAAATTCAATTATTTATTTATTTATTTATTTATTTATTTATTTGTATTTAGAAACAAAACCAATTATCACATTCCAGGATATTGTTTTGCATTCAGATACCGTTATTGCTTTCTAGAGTTACACTGTTAATGCATGAGCATAAATAAAAGGATTAAAAACATTTATATAGATACAGAATTAGCACTACCCATGTATAATGCACATCCTTATTTGTCCCTCAAAAATATCGGCAAAAAAGCGCGCATTATACACAGCAAAATTCAGTAATTCTATGAAGTGGGTGCTATGGCCTGTACATTTCCATTTTACAGAAGAGGAAACTGAGGCTCAGGAAGGTTAAAAATATTTGCTCAAGGTCACATGCTAATAAACTGACAGAGCTGGGATATGAAACTAAGGTCCCCTCACACCTGCATTTCCAGTCACCAAAGGAGGAAATACAGACCAGGAGCCGCTGTGGAGTTAAGAAGGGAGTGCTCAGGCTCTGCACACCCAGCCCCAGATAAGAGAGCAGCAGGGAAAGTGGTCAGCTCACTAAGGACAGTAGCAGTTCCTGGGTAGGCACCAGGACTTCCAGAGACGGGGCCCTGCGTAGGCTGCACCACGTGGCCCAGCTCTCCCAAGTGCGGCTGCCCAGTGGTTCAGCACACCCATCCCCATACTCACCCAAGCTGTGGTTGCTATAAGATCGCCCTGGCGCAGGCCAGGAAGGAGGGGACTGGGGGTAGAGGGTGAGGACGGGGGAAGGGTAGCCCAGGCCCAGCCTGGGTTGGGGAGCGGCAGGGAGGGGGAAGGTGGAGTGGGAACGGTGGGGGCGGGACCTTAGCAGTTGGGGCGGAACTAGGGGAGGAAACGGTGCCCAGAACCTCCGCTGGCTCCTCCCCGCTCCTGCAGACCCAGGCCCGGGGTTCTCCCCATTTCTCTGGCGTCCCCTCATGCCGTGCCTTTCTAGCCCTCATATGTCCCACTAATTCCGGCTGCTCGGGGAGAGCCGGAGAGAGCTCCGTTCACTGGGTTTGACCCGTTGGATAAACCACCTTGTCACCTTACCTCTCCGCTGTGAACCATCACCTGTTGAAAGAACATAAAATTAATTCAACACGGCCCCAAATTCTCTTACTTCTTGACCCCAGTCTCTCCTGCCCCCCATTCTAGCCGAATTATCCAGCTTCACTCCTCTAAAATATTAAACCAGTTTCGCCCCAGCCTTGGTGACCCATCTCCAAACTTTGTTACCCAGAGCTGATTTGGAGAATTTCAGGAGAGAAGAGCACTTTACAGGCCTGGAGATCCAGCGAGGTGCACCCCGGAAACTATGGGCTACGGCTGTTCCGGCCTTTGATCAGGAGAGGGCGCCCTATCCTGTCCGACAGAGCAGAGAGAGGATCTCCAGCCCCCAAGCCCTGGGTGTCTCCTCACCATGAAAGGGTAGGTCACCAGAAACCGGCCCCCAGGGTTCCCTTCCCACCCTGAATGACCCATAAATGAACCTAAGGGAGACTTTTGGCTGCCTTTGCAAAGATCATCATACCCCAACAGGAAAAAAGGTTGAAGGATCCAGTAATCCTTCCTGCAGGCACAATGCCTACTTGTCAGAGCACCTGCAGGGGTTGCAGGACTGCTGAGCTAGATACCACCATGACATTTTCCCCCATTTAAATCCCCAGAGTAATAATTAGCTCATTTTGAGCACTCTGTGTCCCAGGCACTTTTCTACTTTTTATGTTTTACCATTAAATCCTCATAAAACCTCTATAAGGTAGATACTATTAATATTCTCATTTTACCATTGGAAAACAGAAGATAATTTACCTACTCACATATAGTTAGTAAAAGTCAGAATCAGGATTTGAACCTGGCACCTGAGGTCCCTTAATCACTATATACTGTTAAACCCACAAGGTAACTCTATAAGATTACCACTTTGCAGATGGGGAAACAGAGGCTCCAATGTTCATTAACTTGCCAGAGCTTATTTCATGCATTCACTCTTGTTCATTCACTCACTCTAGGCCCTCTCTGTGGCAGGCCCTGGGCTGGGCAATGGTGAGGGACTCAGATATCTTGGCCCCATTACTGAGGGCTCATAGTCTTATTCTAAAAACTATTCTTGACTTTGGATTCTTCCCACCTTGTCCTTTAAAGTCCCAGGGCAAGTGAATAATTATTAAAACTTTACTAAAAGAACCACCTCCATTTAGTTTCAAAAACTGGATTTAGGTTTTCTACCTTGGGGCTTCTTGTCATCCTCTTTGTTTAGCTCCAACCCACAGATGCCTGCTTCTGGCCCTTGTTCCCTGTCTTGAGCTCTTTCCTGGTCCCACATCTTTATTTTCCCTGTTCATCTGGCTTGGAATGCTTCTTTTCCTCCATCTCAGCAAACTCTACTCTTCCTGTAAAGGTAGTGATTAGCATGACACTTTGGTAAGTTAGAAATGCATGTGGTGATTTCTAGGGAGATCAATAATAGAAAATAATTTAATTTCTAAATTGGCACAGAAGGAAAAACAAAATAATCCAGAAGAATGCAAGAAAGGAGATTTAAATGGCCAACAAGCACACGAAAAGATAGTCAACATCATTAGTCATTAGAGAAATGTACATGAAATGACAATGAGATAACACTTCATACCACCTAGGATGAGTGTAATTTTTTTAAAAAGGAAAATAACAGGTGTTGGCAGTGATGTGGAGAAATTAGAACCCTCATATAATGCTGGTGGGAATGTAAAAGGGTACAGTCACTTTGTAAAACAGTGACAGTTCCTCAAAAAGTTTAATTTAGATACCACATGACCCCACTATCTACTAAAAGGTGTAAAAGTATGAACACAACAGAGCTGGAAACATATGTCCACAAAAACTTGTACATGAATGTATAGCAGCATTATTCATAGTAGCTGCAAGGTGGAAGCTACTCAAATGTCATTCAACTCATAAATGTGTAATAAAAATGTGATATATCCATAAAATGGACTATTATTTGACCATGAAAAGAAATGAAGTACTAATCCATGCCATAACATGGATAAACCTTAAAAACATTAAGCTAAGTAAAAGAAGTCAGACACACAAAAGCCACATACTGTATGAATCCATTTATATGAAATGTTCAAAACAGGCAAATCCATTGAGACAAAATACATTAGTAGTTGCCAGGAACTGGGAGAGGGGGAGATGAGGAATGACTGATAATGGCTCTGGGGTTTCTTTTTCTTCTTTTTAAAATTGATTTTCAGAGAGAGAGAAACAAACATCAATTGTTGTTCTACTTATTTATGCGTTCATTGTACAATATGTTCAGTGACTGGGGATCAAACCCACAACCAGGGCATATCTGGAAGATGCTCTAATCAAATGAGATACCAGGCCAGCACATGGGTCTGGAGTTTCTATTTGGGGTTATACAAATGTTCTGGAATTAGACAGTGGTGATTGTTGCACAACCTTAGGAATATATCAAAAACCTCTGAATTTTACACTTTAAATGGGTGATTTGAAATATATGTAAATTATTCTTACCTGTGAATTATGTAATATAATTTCCCATGTAAATTATATCTCAAATTATTTTAAAGATTTTATTTATTTATTTTTATACAGACAGGGAGGGAGAAAGAGAGGGAGAGAAACATCAATGTGTGGTTGCCCCTCACATGCCCCGCAGCTGGGGACCCAGCCTGCAACCCAGGCACATGGCCTGACTGGGATTGAACTGGCAACGTTTTGATTCGCAGATCAGCAATCAATCCATTGAGGCACACCAGCCAGGGCTATATCTCAAATTTTTAAAATAACCTGGCAAAGATCTGTGCCTCAATAAATGGCAGTTATTACAACAAAAAGAAAAATAAAGGAACAAAGGACAGAAACAGAACTGGAAAGACAAGTGGAAAGTATGAAATATTAGATAAAATCCTGAATATACCAGGAAATTCATTAAATACAATGAACCAAGTGCTCTACCTAAAAACCTAATTATAGGCTATTTATAAGCATCGCCCTTCACTATCAAGTTATAGGAAAAGTGGAAGGAAATCAACATTTACTTAGTGTTTCTAAGTGCCAAATGTGCTTAGTCCAGTCCCTCGCAAATTCCATCATCTCACTTGACCTTCACAACCACCTTACGAAATAGGAATTATTGTACCTATTTTATAGACAAAAAAACTGGGGCACAGAACAACTAAATGACTTGTGCAAAGTTTAAAAAGTAGCAGAGCTGGCACTCTGGGTGCTGTGGCTCAGTTGGTTGGAGTGTTGTCCTGTGTACTGAGAGGTTTTGGGTTTGATATCCGGTCAGGGCACATGCCTGGACTGCAGGTTCAGTTCCCAGTAGACACACACGAGAGGCAAGCAATCAATGTTTGTCTCTCGCATGGATGTTTCTCGTTTCTCTTCCTGTCTCTGTCCCTCCCCTTTCTTCTCTCTAAAATCAGTAAGTATGTCTTCAGGTGAGGATAAAAAAAACCAAACAAACAAACAAAAAAACACCCCTAGCTGGTGTGGCTCAGTAAATTGAGTGCCAGCCTGCGAACCAAAGGGTAGCTGGTTCAATTCCCAGAGTAGGGCACATGCATGGGTTGCAGGTCAGGTCCCCAGCAGGGGGTGTGCGAAATGCAAACACACATTGATGTTTCTCTCCCTCTCTTCCCCTCCCTGAAAATAAATAAATAAATAGTCTTTGCGGGGCGGGGGGGGGGCGGGGGGGGAACCAGATCTGGTCCATGAACTTAGCTGTTTGACTCCAACTCTGCTGCTCCTTCCAATGCACCATATAAGAAATCTAGAACCATCCCTCTGAAAGGAAGTCTCTTGCCTTCCCCTGATTCTGTAGTCCTTACAGGTCTGGCTCCTTCCTACGCACCAATGATAGCTGCATAATGTGTGCTAGAGACTGGAGGCTCCCATGACAGAGCTGGACTTTTCTTAGCTTTCTCTTAGCCAGAGCAGTGTTGAGCTCTGGACACCTCTGGGCTCCTGATGCCAGCACAGGGCTTGGCTGAGCAAGCTTTTGTGAACATACACCAAATTCTGTGTCTTTACAGGTAAAAGAGGGAAAAGGATGATAATTGAAGGGCTATTAAGAGAATTAGGCAGAATAAGAGTATGTGGGTCCAGGAACCCCTGGCCCACAAAGAAGTCCTTCCCTGGGCAGAAGTCCCTGAGAATAATAAGCTTTGTGGGCCACATGACTACAGAGTACCTAACAAGAGGTCTTCTACTTAGAAATCACCATGATCACAGGGAATTCCTCCCTGGTAGCACTCTTCGTCCAATGTCTCATTTTCGACTCTTCACACAAGTATGGATTATTTAAGGATCTAAGATCTTGCATATCCACTAGTACTTAGGATTGAAGATGCTCACTTCCTCATTCAAGACATATTTCTGAGCCCCTTTTCTTTCCTTCTTTTTTAAAAGATTTTATTTTCATTTTTACAAAGAGGGGGAGGGAGGGAAACATCAATGTAAGAAACATCATTTGGTTGCCTCTTGCACGCCTCCAGCTGGAGACCTGGGCTGCAACCCAGGCATGTGTCCTGACCAGGAATCAACCAGTGACCTTTCACTTTGCAAGATGATGCCCAAACCACTAACTCAGACTGCCCAAAGCGAGCCCCTTTACTTTAAATCGCCCCCCACCGGCTGGTGTGGTTCAGCTGGTTGGAGTGTTGTTCCATTAACAAAAGTGTCGTGGATTTGGTTCCAAATCAGAGCACGTGGCTAGTCTGTGGATTCGGTACATGTCTCGCAAAAAATCAATGTTTCTATCTCAAACTAATGTTTCTCTCTCTCCCTCTGCCTTCTCTAAAAAAAATTACTTATTGATTTTCAGAGAGACAGAGAGAGAGAGGGAAAGGGAGAGAGAGAGAGAGAGAAAGATCAATTTGTTGTTCCACTCATCCATGCATTCATTGGTTGCTCCTTGTATGTGCCCTCACTGGAGATGGATCCCGCCAACTTGGCTTACCAGGAAGATGTTCTGACAGAGTACCCAGCCAGGGCCTTTTCTAAGAATCATGTCAGAATATCTAGAATGGGAATTTCTTGACATGTTTAAAGACTATTAATAACATCTATCCTACATTGAGGGGTTACTGTGTATTAGTTACACTCATTTAATTCTCACAACATCCCTGTGAAGCAAGTACCATTATCTCCTTTTTACAGACAAGGAAACTGAGGCTCAGAGAGGTTAAGAAATTTGCCTAAGTTCATACAGCTTATACATAACTGAGCTCAGATTTAAATCCAAGATTCTCTGACTCAAATGTCCCACACTTCGACTTTTCTACTTAAGAAAAT